TCTCTGACTTGGGTTAAGCTGGAACGGAGTCACTAGCTTTCGTGTTCGGTTGGAGCTGCATCTGAGCTGAATTTGATGCTAGGTTACAAACTATTCTGAACTCAATAGGCCCTCCGATTTCGAACGCCTCTAATAAAAGATCCAGACGCAGAGATTCATCGCCACTCTTTCACTCATGACAATGCGTCCGACGAGATTGATTAGCGTGGCGTATCCATAACAGTGACACCACCTGGATGTCGCACAATTTACACAAAATATGCATTTTACTGAGGTCGAGAGCGCACGTTTGATGGTTTCAGCTATAGCCCCTGACTAACACACGATCTCCTGGTCGCAGCGTCCGTTTTAGTAGTGGTACAGCGGAGCGCTGGACCGAAACTGGTCGGAGAACATCATGTGGAAGACATAACTGCCTGTTCATTAGAGCTTCAGGGGGAACGGCAGTTCAGACTTTACGGTTTGGCAGTGGTTCTGTAGGTTTGCAAAGATGTGTCCAGTATTCCCGCTATCGACCTCTCCTCCTGGATTTCCGTAAGGCACTTGTCTCAGATAGATTAGACACACTTAGATTCTGGGTAGGTCTTGGTGAGCACTACCGGTTAATTGGCATGTCGGCAAGTTTCGAACAATTAATCCAGTTAATAAAATGAGGGTTAAGCTCGCAACCAAACTATGTAGACAGTAACTTAATCGCGCTTACCTGAAATTTCCAGCTTACAGACTAATTCACCATTTACCGTCTGATGCATTGCTGACCATTTTATTAGTTAGAACACGACCTTATCGAGTTGCAAGCAAACCATTCTTCCGTTTATTCTTGCAGTCATGTACTTGCGGTGATGTTTAAAATTAGGATCATTTGTTACAAGCACGGGATTGGATTTGGGTTCGGTTTTATGTGATCGACCGCTTGATTAGCTTATTTGGCTAATTGTTCTGACACGTCTCGTTGTTCGCCATTCACTTTCTTTGTGGCCGCGTCGATTGTACACTGACCACCTGTGTGCCTTATAGTGACAGAACCTTGCGAAATGTCATTGGCCACACTGCCAGCACGCGGATAGTGGTTTAGCTACAACAGGTGCTGCGGTGCTGGGCGGTCGTTTGAAGCAAGTCTTTGTGACATTAAAAGTGGAGTTAGCTGACTGCTGCAACAGCATGGTTGTGTTGTGCTTGTGGTTTACCAAACCCTGACACTTATTGGTTATATAATATCTGGGGACAGTTCAATCATGCTCAATAACCTGTCGGAGTGTGGCAGGAGACCGCAAATGTAAAGCATATATTTAAACCGATCTGCCATGCTAGACAGCTTGCACTGTTCGCACTCGAAGAGGACTCTACCAGCATAGGTGATGAAATCTTCCTCTTCCTGTTCAGCATTTCCTTCCGAAGCCGGAATTGATGACTTAATGCCGAATGGCCGCAACGATATTTCAATTATTCGTATGTGGAGCATCTGGAATGGACTTTCCTTTTGGTGCAGAGTCGCGGTCGCCCAGCGAAAAATCAGAACGAAGACTGGGTTGCGGTCGAAATCTGGTTGATCAGAAGGCAACATATTATTTGTAGGACAAACTACGTTCGGTTCAGTCATCCCGATTCGTTCTTCTTTAGTTGGCTACCGCTGGAAGGAACTTAGCATTTTCATCTATCTAGCTAATTGGTCGTGTGTGCTCACTAAGTGATTCTCGCTCACACTTGTGGGTGTAGTTGCTCAACTGGCGGCCCAAATCCGTTCATTTCGCCCATTCGATAGGCAACCAACATGAGTAGTGTTGCAACTTACCACCACATGCAGAATTGTTTTTAATCCGTCTGCAATCACTGACATGTACATGGGTCGTAAACCAGCTGAATCGGACGCTGTGAGAGTGATCCAATCACCAATAAGGGAGAAAAAGTAGGGCGAGTATGCGTCAAACTGGAGTTGAATCGAGACCAACAACGGAAACCAGAGAAGATTTAAATTACCGGGAACAGACTGCACCAGTTGAAGCTCAATGGATCAAGCTTGTTGATTTAAAATCAACACTAGTCTGTTAGTCGATGTCCCTCCACTGTGTTCCAATCTGACCTTTGAGAATCAGCTGGGTTTGACCTTGAGTTCAGGTTGTTCTGGTCTTTGGAGCAGATGAACGAATGACTAAGATTCGCGAGCTTCTTTGGTCTGCTCTCCAGAAAACGTATTCTCCTAGCAGGTATTATGTGTGACCCCCTTGCAGTTGGGTTAGGCGATGTCGTAAACAGACCCTCTGGTAACTCAATTTGCACAATGCGTGCAGTGGTTACAGGATCGCATAGGCAGATCTTCAGTTCTTTCAGACCTGTTATCAGTATTTAGTTCAAATGTGGTCTCCACTTCGTTTGCCCGCTCAGGTGGTGCATTAGGTCGGACGACAGTTTGTGCTCACCGCCTTGAACCGGAGCTCGGTTGGCAGCCTGCTGCGGATTGATTTCCACCGTTCCGGTAGCCTAAGTGCCCTCTGTCTAGCTTGAAACCCAATTTTCATTATCCTTTGGCTGCAATCTTTGTAACTTGCTGGCCTTGGCAGCCTGGAGAGAGAAACAGCCACAATATCGTCCAAGGGCAGAGTTTCACGAATACACGCTACGGATCATGATCGTGACCTACTGCTTTGCATTCCTCGTGCTCACGAAAGTGGGGAGACCGTGGACAGAAACTGTTCTGGATGTTGCGTCTAGGCAGAACTCTTCTAAGCACTGTTTCGTTCGCTTTCACTCGCCTCATGAACGTCTAGTAAGACCCGCACAAAACTGGATTCACTCTGGAGACGAGCTGTCGAAAACAAGACTACGCCCACCTCATCAACAGAACTTAGTACAACCCGAAGAAGCGTGGTTTCACCATCGTGCTTGGAATGTTGGTGGCGGTTGATCCTCGTTCGCAATGCAGCGGGGTTGCAATGCTTTGGTTTTGTATGAACGTATGTCACCCCAATTCCAACCCCCAACCTTGAGCACCCGGAGACTGAATTTTTCTGACCTCCAGTCATGGACCAACGTGGTAGAAGTAGCTCTCGAGGTACTCGAGGGTTTCATCCAGTATAGTCAAATGGGCCGAAGCTAAGCGGGACTGAACAAAACGGATACCCCGCATGCCGTTGTGTGCCCGCTTGGATGAGGGCTCGTGAGCTTCGACGTGCACGCATTTACTGTGCTGAAATTCTGGTAACTGCCCAGTTTGATCTGTCAATCATTAAGACCAGGTTGGAAGGTATAGAAAGCTAGATCACCACCGAATTGTTAGATTGTTAATGAAATAAGCGCACGAGCAACAAGAGTTTAGCATAGGGTCAAGCAAAGCTTAGTATACAATCCAGGAGACTGCTTGAAGTAGCCACTTTTAGATAAAATGGAGCACGTTTCAAAATATAATATCATCATAATACGAGATTGTTCATCGTTGGCAGTAATGTATTCACGGGGCTTAATAACTACAACCGGAAAGTCGTCGATTAACACACTGAACATGGAAACAATGGGCAATTTTAGTCTGGATTGTATGCAGGAATCTATCAAGTTACTACCCATGAACAAATCAGCCAGAATATGATTATACCTGTCCTATTTTTCATGCAAAAACCATTCTGACCATTGTACGATGAGATTCCTTTCACTAAAGCCTTGATTAAAAACCACTTTCAGTTAATCGCATCGTTGGTATGGACACGATTGATCAGATGATACAACGTTGATATCAACAACTACTTTATTAGAAAATAGCTAGTAAATGTATCTACTCACTATTGTCCCATCCGTTTTAGTAACAGCTGTTGATGTACGTACTCAAGAATGTGAGTGAAAAAAGTTGAAGTGAATGACTGAAGTTCGACGCCTAAGTCAAAGATAAACTGTCTGATAAACAGTCGTCTATGAAAGTAGAGAACTGGCTTCATCCAGCGAGATATACTAACCTCAAGGTAACATAGGAAGCGGGATTAGTATAATATAAAAATGTCTAGTACGTTGAACCGAATTGTATCTGATGACTCGTAACAGTGGACAAGCACCTGTTGAAGAAATCGGTGACCCACGATACCGTTATTTATGAGTAGAGTGCGGGGTAACATCATGCTCTCCTCCGCATATTTCTATGGAGATAGTTGCGTAGACGGAACTGACACGATTTTCGCCTCCCACATTAAAGAACCCCTACCAAAGCGCATTTAGGCTTCTAGAACAACAAAAGAAACAAGCTATCCAACACGGATCTAGCTCCACATAAATTTGATGCCACTATTCAAAATTAACCACATATTATGAATGCGTGTCCACTTGAAACCCGAACTTATCCGAAAGCATTGATTAGGCTCACCTTGTTGTTTGTATTCATCAGTCCAATCTTATCCGAAGCATTATCCCGTTCATCAATCTCTCAGGTAATCGCCGTGATTTTGTCAATCAATGGGGAATCTCTGATGGACAGCCATTGAGAGCTTTCGCTTAGTCGCTCAGACATCTTCGTCTACATGACACACCCTAAACGGTGACATAATTCGAGGGGAAATGAAACCACATCTATCATCCCTCACCCTCATTTAAGTGACCTAGGCAGATATCCAAGTTAGTCGTTTCTGCAAAACAGTCCGTCTTGGTTTTAATATTCATCAGGCGTGCATCCCATGTCAGTAGGGAAGGTTTTCACTCTTTCTGAGTACAACAACTCTAGATGATACACTCCAAAAGTGTTACAGTCGAAACAATGTTATGTAAAACCATACGGATTCATTTCGCTTCCCCTAGTTAATTACCGTTACGGCAGACTGTACAAATGCACTCATGCTGTCTCAGTTTACAAACTGTCCTTGATAGCATACAACTCAAAATGACTATTATTAACCAAAATAAGCCTAGTTCTTTTGCTGATTTTAACCTGTGCCAATAAGAACAACCACATTTGATCAGCTCACGATGTATTAGGGAACAATACCTTATTTCGGATTCATACGTCCTTCTCTGTTTATTATAACTAGGCGCTGGATCGAACATACTTGATCAGAAGACGAAACGCTTCCGACTTATCACCTGGGGTATCGTTCTTCTATGGACGGTGCACTACGCATGAATTACATCAAGGATCTCGTTCCCAGATGAAGCTGTACAGTTAGCAGTTTCACTGCATATTCCACATAAGTGAAATTTCCTTTCAGTGTACACACTTTCGATCCGAAACGAAGGTTCTGCACATTGAGACTATAAGGATCTATATCAAACACTACATTTTACCTCGCATTGTATTGTGTACAGGGGCTAACTATTTTCGCATCTAAGAGTTCATGGGCGAGCTGGAAAATAGAAGTTAAAAATATTTCGGCAGCTTTCTTTTTCCTTTTCGCAAACGTCATGCGTGACTTGCGTCACCAATATGAACATAAGGCGAATGGAAGAGGAATTAAGAGTAAACTTTCCGCCACAATTGTACAGGGGTTTCTGTCACTTACAGCAGCTAATGGTGTGGATGCCACCAAGTCAAATCAGGAACCTATTCTGAACATTTGTTTGTAATCTGCTAGACGCTGAAAGCATAAAGGTCACCCCCTGTCGATTAATTCGTTGTACTCTGGAAATCGGCAACGGGTAGTGTCATTTCCCCATATATGGCCACTCTGTAGGAACATCTATACAAAACGTGTACTTATCCCAGCGCACTCAATGCGGACGTTAGACACCAGTACTATTGGCATAGTGGTAAAATGCTCCAATCCGCAACTAGTACAGTTGTTCAGGGCATACATTATCTGCTCACCGCCAACTTATCGAGATAACCGCCTTTTGGTTACGACAAAAATGGATTCGTTAATTGACTGCATTGTTAAGTAAATTATAGCTGTGCTGGCAATGTGAAAGCTGGAGACTAACTGAATGGTAACTCCAGACCACTCATCGGGTGCAAAAGACAAAAACCGTCGCTACCATACGTTTCATCTAGCCCAAATTAGAGCTTAACTGAAGAACGTACATAATAAATCTCTCTACCAGTTGACTTGCCATATTGCAGGGATTACCCTTAGGTGCCCATCATGAGGGCGCCCTCATCGGGTACCCTAATTGGTTCACCAAATAAATTCACTTCAGTGAAAACTTCTGACGACAATAAACGTTGCCTTTGCTGAAATAGGGGTACCACGTCACATTCTCACGAAGTACAAAGACATGCATTTATTTCTCGGATCTCCCAGTAGTAGATATTTGGCCGCACGATTCAGCATCTCTCATCGTGCAACGACTGCTTGCTATACAAGCGTAAAACAAGGAAATAATATTATTTTTTACGATGTTTGCGACTTGAACAGGTTGTCCCATACTCCAGAATGAAACCCTGTGCGAGAGGGGCCCCTTGGATTGACCGAAAACTGAGTCAATGGAGGAAATGTGGGATAGATTCAAGTTATCTCTCGGATTACTCAAACTACCAGGAGCTCAGGAACCTGCGGCCAAAGGAAGAACGCGAGCAAGGGCAACAATACTAACAGAGTTTGGCCGACCCATCCTTGTCTAGACCCGAAACATTAAAAGCTTATCTAAACAAAAGAACCAAGGTAGACTGCGGCATACTTGCTTTGTTAGCAAATTCGACAAATACCGTGGGTTACGAAGATGACAAGAAAGCGAACTTTCTGATTGGGCAATACCACTTCGTAGACTCACCAGAAGCTCCGCCAACCAACATATATGAATCCGCGTACCCATGCAGTCTAGAAGGTATTAAATTCAGCGCGGACACAATTATGAAACTACTGCTTGTACTCAACCGGGACTCCAAATCTGGCCCTGACAGATTGCATCCTACGTTTCCCAAAACTGTGGCTGACTAGCTTGCTTCACCCATCTGCTCATTCTTTCAACTGTCACTGATAGCTGGTCCTCTACCCGTCGATTGGAAAACTGGGACTGTAATGCCCACCTACAAGGGGGGAAAGAGTCAGGAACATGTGGACAATCGCAGAATCTACTTAAAGTGCACCATCTCCAAGGTTATGGAGAAGATCATCAAATGCGCTCTATAGAAGCACTGCGACGAAGTTAACATTACTTCCTCTACTCAGCATGGTTTCCGGACAGGACGTTCCTGCTCCTTCAACCTGTTAGTGGCGAGAGAAACGTGGGCAAGGTCAACTGATGGCGGACGACATATAGATGTAATCTTTGTTCACTTTAGCGAAACATTCGTTAGCTTTCACACCATCAAGTACTATGGAAGCTTACGGATATCGGCGTTAGTGACCGTGTTCACTCATGGATCACCGACTTCCTGGAAGAGCAGACTATTCAAGTGCGAGTGAACGAAATGCTTTCCAATCCAGTGCTCATGACCAGCTGTGTTCCACAGGGACACGTCCTTAGACACGAACTGTTCAAGCTGAACATCACTGACCTTCCTGCAGCAATCCAAAGCGAATGCTTTATCTATGCCGACGATCTCAAGCTGGAGTCTGAAGTAGCTGAACTCGATGCCGCTGAACGAATATAGGTGACACTTGATCCGCTGCACGACTAGTTCATCAAGCTGGGCCTACCAATAAACTACCAAAAATGCTGTACCCTACCGCTTGGTGTTTCTGGGCCACATGTAAGTTATCACATTGTGAAGTTCCTTCTCAAAACGCCACTCAGGAGAAAGATCAAGATGTAATAATAATAATCCGTGACCTGAAAATCAAAGAGGATACAATGAAGAGCGTAGCCGCTGCAAAGAAGATTCGCCGGGACATAAGAAGATCATTCTGTAGACTGACACAAAAAGCTTCAGGATCTCGTCCACTTCTCACGTGCGACCGAGTCTAGCGTATAGTTTGCCAACTGCATTCTCATCCTCTAAGGTTGAATGTGTCCTAATCGAAAACGTCCAGGAGTATGGCTCTAAGTCCGTACCTGAATTTCGTGATCTCTCCTACTCCCCCTGGCATCAGCAGATTTATATGTTCTCCATGGAATACCATCGTCAACAAGGATACCTTAGCTTTACTAGGCGCATATTAAGAAGTGAACTAGGGGTGAATTGCAGCATTATTTGCGACTCAACCTAGGTGGCTACACATGAGGTCACGACTGGAAGTTGTTCAAACAGAGAAGGCTCAAAGTCCGCTACGCTGTCCCTCTGTCCACTACGGTAGCAAATGAATTAAACTGCTTACTAGAGACTGTTGTCGATGCGCTACGCGATGAATCCTTCAAACTGCTTTTGGACAACCACCTACGTAAAGCACCAGGACCGTAGTTCTTTAATGTGACCGCTCCAGCTCCTTGAAGGCTGCAGGGTCGCGGCGACAAATATGCCTTTAGTGTTGAGCAGGTGTCAGAGCTAAACTGGAAACTCTATTCTGCGCTCTAGAACTCAATGAACTCAATGAAACCGACACGCGGCCAATACACCGGAATTCTGATCAGTGACGCCGCTCAAACTCACCACGATTACACCACAGTCCGGATTAACAGGGAAGAAGTGGTTGGTAATTTTGTGAGTCAAGCACGACTTCGGTCCTGGATAGAGGATAGCGAGTTGCCCGCGTACAACACTGCCTCTGAGTGTACGGTACATAGCGCTATGGAACCTGATCGCATGACCAGGCGGAACAGACGGAGCCGGAGGGTGGAAATTCATTCAGCGCCAACAGCGCAAGGTGACCACATTCCCGGGGATCGGCTGAACCCAGAATTGATTTGGGGTATAGAGAATAAAGCGCAACTTTGTTTCAGTCAAGATAGGAGTGCTCTAAACATCAGCGAACAATGAGTACGAGCCAATTAATCCAGGCTGATGGCTGACAATAAGCAGCCAGTGAAAGTGCACCATGGTAAAATAGTGATTAAAGTTTGGGTATGGTCAAAAATGGCCTTTTGTGTCTTAATAGCAATCATTTGGATCGCTGCCCAGTTTTCATTTTGACAATCGAAGAGCTATATCGACCATGATTTCATTGTGACCGTCATTGTGCCCGGCGCTAATCGCTCCCATGGACTAACCTTCCAAGTGGATACAACATTATAGATTCATTAGTGTATAAAATTTCGACATTACCAGTGGTGAGGATGTTACCAGAGGAGATCTACGCATCAATTAGAAAGTCGCTCCCTAATCCTCGCGAAACGCGTTCCGGTTCCTCGCAGTCCTTGGATGGCCAAGAAGCACAAACGAAGTGCTCGACAGCTCAGTGCCTGGCTGGCGAGTGCTGCGTTCACGTTCGCTACTGGCGGGAACGACCGACGTTCTCCAGCTTCCATTCCAAGATAACCTTGTGCGTCGGCGGTCCTGTTTCCACGGTTTGACACTTCGTCTTGGGAAGCGGCAACAAATAGGTTCGGCTACGCGCTTCACAAATTCAGCATCGTTGGTTTTCAACGAATCTCGAAACGAAGTAGCTACAAACTCTTTGTTCGCGGCAAACCATGTAACTATGCTAGGCAGAGTCGTCCTACCACGTATAAATAAATGAATAAATAAAAATGTTCTCGTATGCTTCGAGGTATGCCAAACCTAGCACGATCGATGCTGATAATTGAAGTAAAACAGCAGTTCATGACTGATGGGTGACGCAACTAACTCATACTTTGAACAAACTCACGCAAATAACTGAGGAATAGTAAGGAAGCTATAGAGTCCTACCTTTTTTGTTAAAGTACCAGGCTCAAATTTTCAACCGAGTTATGTGCGTTATAAGGAATCAGCAGCGAATATTTTATGAAAAATACTGAGTGGACCAGAAGTAGAAAACATCAAAGGTTTTGTCAATCACCAGAAACATGGAAATAAAATATAGGAAAGACGTGCCGACTCAGTGCGACGCTTAAGCCAAAGTTGTTGAACACTCTGCACTTCAGCCACCAAGATGAGATTTCGAATTACCAAGCTGAAGGCGAAAACATCAGAAACTATACTTGGAATGTCTGTAAAAGCCTCCAAGCTAACAGAAACAGAAGGTAGCGAACAAACTTGTTGTCAGGGTTTCATCATCAGGCTAATAGAACCACGACAAATCAGGCTAGAGTGGATACAAGAGGTTTAAATTCGATGAGTTCCTAAAGGAAAACATCTAATCGATAAGACAACATGATTGGTCTGATTGATGTGAAGTCAGGTGAAGTGGTCGTTTGCCAAATATACGTTGCTTGACACGAGCAAGAGAAATAGCACACACAGAAGGAAATCTGTGACCGAGTTATCCCGCTTTCGAATTGTTGACGCACAATCGCGTTGAGGTGCAGCGCAGATCAGCCACAAAGTACGT